CGTCAAGTCACCTCACACAATCGACATCAAGCAGAATAATCACCAGCACAGTTCAAGAATATAAACAGTTCAAGACGACTTACTACGAATAAAACACATAAATGTCAACAAGCATGTCTTTGTCCCTCAAATGATAGCATCTCAAGATTTTAACCAGAAATAATCAATCCAAGTCATTATAACTAGCACAATATTCCAATAGACTCTCATGTCATCATCGCAAAATTCCACATACATATAGCCTCCTACTCAAGAAAATCAAGGAAATATATAATAATCTAGCATATAAACCTCTCACACTAACATACCTCCCCAAACTTAGCGTTTGCACATAAGAGAACAAAATAGGAGGTAAAAGGAAGGAGTTCACCTTATCGAAGAGAGGAAGTCGCGGTCCCACACATTGGGTTGCCTCCCAACAAGCGCTTTTTTTTATTGTCGTTGGCTCGACTTATTCTCCGTTTTCTTCAAGCGGTCCATGGCGGCTTCATAGGTGGCCTCAAAGGAGGCACGGACCTTGTAGCTCCATGTTTATTAAAGGTCCCCTCGTCCGGTGTCGGGTGCTTTACCGGATCTTTTCTTCTCGGTGGTAGACCGTCATGGTAAAAGATTAGCCCAGGATCATGGATAAGAGGAAAAATCTGAACCACCTCAAGGATGTAAGGCTCTTGATTTTCAACGTGCTCGGTTGCTGGTTGTTTGAACTCGGATAGAAGAAATTGATTTTCAGTCATGCTCGTGGCAATTGATGGAGCTTTCACATAGTTTTCACTTTCGAGCAGGCTGTTATCGGGGCCCCCGATAGCAGTAGTAAATGCTACCAGGTTTTTATCGGGGGGGCCGATATCAGCGAAAATTTGCTCCTCATTGCCTTCTTCTTCATTCTCTTCGCCGTTTGGCTCAAAATTACGTTCGTCCAGCACCTCAGGCTCTGTGTCGCTGCACATCCTCAGGTCTCCGACATCATCGTGGCTGGCTTCGGCTTGAGATAATAGCCGACTCTTGGCTCGGGCATCCAATTCGCTCAATACATCACCAATCGCTTTGCTACTAGCCATCAAAGAATTTTGACACTCTTCAAATAACTCCATCAATGACGGACTAGTCTCTTGTTCAAGCGAAGGTTCTGGAAAATATTGTGAGCCTCCATAGCGGAATTGAGAGTCATCTTGCTCATAAGTAGGCTCATACAATCGAGAATACTGTGGATTTCCATAGAATGAATTTCCACGATCGCCCCAACCGTAATAGTTCCCATCAAAATTTGAGTACGTCCAATTGTCTCGTCGATACCAATCTCTCTCGTTAGCTCTACGTGCACCATATCTCTCGAACAAAAAATGGCAATTGTCGGTGACGTGTTGTGTGGTATGACATAGACTACATGGTCTCTTTAAGGCTTGACGAACACTCTCAATGGCTTCTTGGATCATAGCCGACATCCTAGCCTGACGTTGTTGGTCTCTTATTTCCCTTCTTCTCATTTCATAATATGATTCGTAAGCGTAAGCACACTCCGGGCTCCAATATGTATCCATCTCGAACAAATACCACCTGCAAAAGAGAATTAAAATAAAAGGGGGATTAAAAGAGTAAAAGAAAAATAATATAAAAACTAATCTAACTACTTAATTCAATTAGTACTAAAAAATCACAACTCAATTGCGCCACTCCCCGGCAACGGCGCCAAAATTTGACCGCGCGTCGCGACGCGGCAAATTTAAATTTATAAAAGTTTCCTCAACTAACCTCTACTAACTAGTAGTAGCGGCGAGTAAGGGTCGATCCCACGATGAGCAGGAATTAAGTCGTGATAATTTTTGTATTAATCGAACTAAATCTAAGAAAGCGAATAAATGGGGGGGATTGGATTGATAAAAATAAAATAGTAAAATAAAATAAAATCAAATAAAATAAGAGAAGTCCAGTTTTCAGTTCAGTTATCACCCAATCTAAATTTACCGTTAATCAATTTCGACGCTTTCTTTAAATTGCTAATGAATTACCGACCCTAGCTAACAACAAGCTCTGTTAACCGAATTTTCCCTTACCGATTATTTAATCGAAATAAGCTCTTCGACTAAATCTAACTAGCGGACAACCTAGAATAAGCTCTCTAGATTTAATACACTAGTAGCATTAATTACTAGGAAAATAGATCAGTCTAAGCAATGGACGCGTAAGCTCGGACCATTTAACTTATGTTCATGTTACCCTAAGGATGCACGACCCCTAGTTTACTACTAACGAAACAAGACAATAACAATTACGGATTAAAGTCTCGTATCTAGCAGTTAAACTATGAATATTTAACGTAGTTGGCCAGACTAAATCAAACACCATAATTCATAAACATTAAACACAGATAACATGAATCAACTCATCAGCAAAAATAAATACGGCGTTTAGATTAATCAACGATAAACAAAGATCTTTCAATTCATAGACAAATTCAAGTTAGGGTTCAAACATTCCCTTAAACTGGATAAAAATCTAGCCTATCATACTAACAGAAACAAATAAATAAAAGAGAGAAGATAAAAATATCTCCCTCGTGTGCGGGTGCGGCTTCCCTCCGCGTGTGTAGCCTTCTCTCCTGTCCGTGCGTGAGTTCTCCACTCGACTTTGTTCTCTCCTTTTTTTCTCTTTTTCTTCTTCTCGCGTGATGATCTCCCCGCAAATAAATCCCAAGGTTTCCTGCGTGAAAGGGAGTCTCCAGCAAATAATTCCTTGGGCTGCGTGTATTAGGGTCCTCCTCAACATATGTCACTCGGCTATTTGATTTTCTTAGCAAATAAATACAACTCAAATCACCAACTCATGTCCAACTTGTAATTAATTACTATCTCAAATAGTTCCTTTTAGCAAAACAATACCCCAGCACTTCGTAACTAAATAGCTCTGGAATTCAACTCAAACAATTGGCCTTTTAAACTTGGGCTGAAATTGGACCGGTACGGAGTGTTAAATAATTGATCGACTAAACTTCTGTACAATGCTTCGCGTCCACAAAATAATCTGAAATACTGAAAATAACACATAAAACATCAAATAAAATCAATCCATCCAAATGATAAATAAGTCAAAAATATAACTTTGCGAATAAATCAAGTGTATAAAAACACACTGTTAAATATATAAAACGTGCACATTTTTTGACCTATCAATCCACCAAGCGAACATACATGAAAAAGGAGTTTGACACATAATTTAGACCGTTTGGCTTATTCCAATGCTTATATCTACGCACCAATGTTGCATCAAATCCCCTGAAGATATTTACGCGGAGAATCATTCAACTGTTGCATCAAATCCCTTAGATGTCGTTTTTCATCTCGAACTCGAATGCAGTGCTCGTCTCACCAAACGAGGCTAAACTTACCAATAAAATACATTTAGGGTTAAACACCCCCACAAACTATAATTTACATAATTAATGAGGTGCAATTATAACTAAGACAAGAGATGTATTTATACTTAAAGGATTCTACATATTTTTAGTATATAAAGGATAAACATTAATCAAAAAGACAAAATTTAACACTTGCACAACTCACTAAAGTTTATTGGTTAAATAAATCTATAGCAAGTCAATAAGCAGGTTCACTTCTTGGAATAATATCCCTCACGGAGGACTTCTTGTGATCCAAACAACATAAAAAAAAAAATAAAAATAAAAAAAAAATAAAAAAATAAAAAAAACCGCCAGTTTGACATTTATTCATCCATACTGATTATTTAAGAAGCACATGACAATTAGAATCTCTAGGAGCCCCCGGGAAAGATAGAACATAATATTCTCATTATTATTCTATAAAAGTCTGTAAATCTTCATCTTTAGCTCAACGAAAAGGTTCCCTTTTGTGAGACTTTGTTGCCTCTACCGAGTTAGGCTCCTGACTTTAAGCCTTCACATGTGTTATGCTACACCGTGTTAAGTTTAACACATTTCAAACCAGAAAAATTACACTCCCACGCCCTGCTAGCCATTCATCTACTCCAATGACTAATTATCATAACAAAGTTAAGCTCCTACTTGGTATGAAAGCACTTTTAATCATAGCTTTCTTGCAATGTGCAAACTCATCCACCCCCCACGACCCGGCCGAAATCCTGCTCCACGTCATGCAAACCCGATTCCAGGTCCCGCGTGGTTCTTTCGACAACTGGCGAAACTCGACCGGGCCGTGCAACTGGACTGGCATCTCGTGCGACCCGATGAGCCAAAATGTCGTTTCCATAAACTTAACCGGTTTCAACATTTCCGGTCCCTTCCCATCGGAGTTCTGCCGGATTCCGACCCTTCAAAACCTTGACGTTTCCAACAACTACTTAGGCGGCAGAGTCGAGCTCCTCTCGATTTCCAACTGCTCGAATCTCGTCTCCCTCAACCTCTCGTTCAACCTCTTCGTCGGCACCCTGCCAGATTTCCCGCCACATTTTGTCAAACTAAGGATTTTGGACCTTTCGTGCAACAATTTTTCTGGGGAGATCCCCGGGAGCTTCGTCAGCTTGCGGAATCTCGAGCATCTCAACCTCATTTCCAATTTGCTAAACGGGACGGCTTTCCCCGAGTTCTTATCCAATATGACCGAGTTGACTCGACTACTCCTGTCCTGGAATCCCTTCCGCCCGAGCCGGCTCCCGAGGAACATCGGCCGGCTCACGAAGCTCGAGGATTTCCAGGCCGTGTCCTCCAACCTCATTGGCGATATTCCGTACTCAATCGGGAACCTCAGATCGGTTAAAAACTTCGACGTATCTCAAAACAAGCTGCAGGGCACGATCCCCGCCAGCATCGGTGGCATGACGAGCGTGGTCCAGATTGAGCTGTACAACAATCATCTTTCGGGCGAAATTCCTGATACATTCTCCAAACTGACATCACTCCTACGTTTCGACTTCTCCCAGAATAGCTTGACGGGGAGAATCCCCGCCAGCCTGGCTGCCCTGCACGTCGAGTCCTTCCATTTGAAGAACAACTTTCTGTCGGGGAACATCCCCGAGGTTATTGCTCTCAATCCGGTGCTCTCCGAACTGTTGCTGTTCAACAATAGCTTGTCTGGAAAGATACCTGCCAATTTGGGACTATATTCGGGCCTCGAGCAATTCGACTTATCAAACAACAACTTGGAGGGCCCGCTGCCACCCAACCTGTGCCATGGGAAGAAGCTAATGATTCTGAATATCATCAACAACAGGATTTCGGGTGAGATACCCGAATCGTACGGGGAGTGCCTAACCTTAGTCCGTGTCCGCATTCAGGACAATGAGCTCTCGGGGATTGTGCCAAACGGGCTGTGGTGTTTGAGCAAGCTCAAGTACCTGGAGATCTCGAACAACAAATTACAAGGCCGTATTCCGCAGTCGGTTTCATCTGCCAAGAGCCTGCAGCAGTTGCTGATCGCCGGGAACAGATTTTCTGGAGAGTTGCCTGGAGGAATCTGCAAGTTGCAAGAGCTGGGAAGGTTTGATACGAGTAGGAACAAGTTTTCGGGAGTGCTGCCTTCGTGTATCAACAAGTTAACGAATTTAACGGAGCTTTGCATGCAGGGCAATAACCTTAGCGGTGAAATCCCAACGAATATTGGTGATTTAGTTCAGCTGACAGAGCTGGATTTGCAGGAAAATCAATTTTCCGGCCTCATACCACCAGAGATGGGGAAATTGCCTGAGCTGAAATACTTGAACCTTTCGAACAATAAACTGTCTGGGGAAATTCCGGACGAGCTCAGCAAACTCAAGTTAAATGAGTTCGATGTCTCCAATAATCGGCTTCAGGGTAGTGTCCCGCCCGGTTTGGATACCCAGTTGTTTGTGTCAGGCCTAATGGGAAATCCTGGTTTGTGTAGTAATAGTCTCAAAGAGCTCCATCCTTGCTTGACGGCTAAACATGCTCGTAAAAAAATCAACTTTCTGTTGGTGGGGATTCTTTCGGCTGTTGGGTCGATTGGAATTGTGTTACTCATATGGCTCGGGTTCAAGACTAAGAAAATGTTCAACTTGAGACGCAAGGGCAACCAGACATGGAAAATCACGGCTTTTCAGAAGGTGGAGGTGGATGAAGAGGATGTGCTGGCCTCATTGACAGCCGAGAATGTAATCGGGTCAGGAGGGTCCGGTTGTGTTTACAAAGTCGTGCTCAAGAGCGGGCAGACGGTGGCGGCGAAGAAGCTTTGGGAGGCAAACTTGGAAGAACCAGAGGAGGTGTTCCGGTCGGAAATGGAGACCATGGGAAACATTAGGCATCTAAACATAGTGAAGTTGTTGTTTAGTTGCATTAGTGAAGACTACAGGATATTGGTGTACGAGTACCTGGAGAACGGGAGTTTGGGGGATGTTTTGCATGGGGAGGGAGGTGGAGTTTTACTCGATTGGCCTAAACGGTTTGCCATTGCAGTGGGGACTGCCCAAGGGCTCGCGTATTTACACCACGACTGTGTGCCTGCAATTATGCACAGGGACCTAAAGTCCAACAACATATTGTTGGATGAGGAGTTTAGGCCCAAATTGGCCGACTTTGGCTTGGCAAAATTTTTGAAGCGGGAAGTGAATGAGAGTGCTCAGACCATGTCTCGTGTTGCTGGTACTTACGGATATATTGCCCCAGGTTTGTATGCACTCCTAGATTTATAGATTAATAATCACCAATACAAAAATCAGTGGCCTAGCTATTCAGCTAACATTCAGTTTTTTTTCTTTTTATATGTTTGCAGAATATGGCTATACGATGAAAGTCACAGAAAAGACCGACGTCTACAGTTTTGGGATAGTGTTGCTCGAACTTTTGACCGGAAAGAGGCCAAACGATTCCTCCTTTGGTGAGAACATGAGCATTGTTAAGTGGGTAAAGGATATTACATTGCCATCCAGAAAACGAGGTGCAAACCGGGAAGCAAGTGATAGTCGAAATATTGGCAATTTGAACCAGATATTGGACTCTCGGATGGATCCTGACACGATAGAGTATCATGAGGTAAAGAAAGTCTTGAATGTGGCTCTCTTATGTACTATGGAGCTGCCCATTAGAAGGCCATCCATGAAAAGGGCTGTCGAGCTGCTTAAGAAACGTTAGCTGATACATTCCCAGTTCAAAATGACATGAGAATATAGATGATTCTATACATATTGAATTTTTGTCAGGAACAGAAGATGTGAGAATATGTAATAAATTAAGTAAAAGAAAGTGTAGCTATGTAATGTGACTTTATGTAAACTGAGAGCTCATTTGTTTAGTATGACATGATAGGATTTTTTTTTTTTTTTTTTCTTGGGGTGGTGACATGATTGTACTGTGGAGACCGGAATAGATTTACGTTTGTTGTTAATGAGTACCCGTGAGATAGGATTTGTGTGAAATTTAGTTCATGTGTTTGATTGCTATGACAAGACTTGAGGTAATACCTATGCTGGGAAGGTTTGATACGAGTAGGAACAAGTTTTCCGGAGTGCTGCCTTCGTGTATCAACAAGTTATTGAATTTAACGGAGCTTCGCATGCAGGGCAATAACTTTAGCAGTGAGATCCCAACGAATATTGGTGATTTAGTTCAGCTAACAGAGCTGGATTTGCAGGAAAATCGATTTTCCGGAATCATACCATCCGAGCTGGGGGAATTGCCTCACCTGACATACTTGAACCCTTCAAATAATATGCTCTCAGGGGTGATTCCGGAAGAGCTCGCCAAACTGAAGATAATCGTGTTCGACGTATCCGAATTCCGATAACCAACTTCAAGGTAGTGTCCCGCCCGGTTTAGATACACACCCTTTCGTGACCGGCCTAAAAGGAAATCCAAATTTGTGTAGCTCAATCCTTACAGAGCTTCATCCTTGCTCGACAGAGAAACATGCTCGTAAAAGCTTCTCATTTGCGAGAATTGTATCGGCAGTTGCATTGATTTCAATAGCATTAGTCATTTGTTTCTGGATCCAAACCGAGATTTTTCTAAGATTTAGGCACAAGAGAAACCAGACATGGAAAGTCGAGGTTTTTCAGAAAGGTGCGATTGGCGAAGAGGATGTACTGGCCTCATTGAAAGCCGAGAATGTAATCGGGTCCGGAGGATCCGGTGTCGTTTACAAAGTCGTGCTCAAGAGTGGGCAAGAAGTGGCGGCAAAAAAGCTGTGGGAGGCAAATTTGGAAGAACCTGAGCAGGTGTTCCGGTCGGAAATTGAGACCATGGGAAATATTATGCATCTAAATATAGTGAAGTTGCTATTTAGCTGCATTAGTGAAGATTATAGGATATTGGTGTACGAGTACATGAAGAACGGGAGTTTGAGGGATGTTTTGCATGGGGAGGGAGGTGGAGTTTTACTCGATTGGCCTAAACGGTTTGCCATTGCAGTTGGGATGGCCCAAGGGCTCGCGTATTTACACCACGGCTGTGTGCCTGCAATTATGCACAGGGATCTAAAGTCCAACAACATATTGCTGGATGAGGAGTTTAGGCCCAAATTGGCCGACTTTGGTTTGGCCAAAAAATTGAACGGGATGCAAATGAGAGCGCTCAGACCATGTCCTTTGTTGCTGGTTCTTATGGATATATTGCACCAGATTTGACACAACTCCTATTCAAACTTATGCTTCTGTTGTTCGTTTTACGTGTTTGTAGAATACGGTTACACCATGAAAGTCACGGAAAAGACTGATGTCTACAGCTTCGGGATAGTATTACTTGAGCTACTGACTGGGAAGAGGCCGAACGATTCCACATTTGGAGAGAACACGAACATTGTCGCGTGGGTAAAGGATATTACAGTACCATCCAAAACACGAGGTGGAAATCGAGATGCTAATATTGCGAGTTTGAATAAGATGTTGGATCCTCAAATGAATGCAGACACCATAGAATAGCAACAAGTGAAGACTGTCCTGAATGTGGCTCTCTTGTGTACTGCTGAGTTTCCAGTTAGAAGGCCATCCATGAGAAGGGCTGTTGCGCTGCTCAAACATTAGCACGCAAGAAAGAATGATGTGTCAAGATATTAATAAATCTCTGTCCGTTAGTTTCTGTACATTATTTAGGCCAGGTAGACTGAGTATTGTGTACAACGAAATGTGAATTGATGAATTTAGTTAAAGTTTAAATATATTTTAAAAGTTAATTATAAGAAATCGAAGGGATATATTCACAAGGCTAGAGTTCCTCTGACTTGAGTTCGGCTCACCTCATTTATCCCAGGCTCATTGAAAGCTCGTTTTGTTAATGAGTTCAGCTCAGTTCGTTAAGTCTCGAAAATAAGATTTTTTATATGATTTTTATAGTTCGGCTCGTTATGACAGCTTGTCCTGTTGACAGTCTCTTGCAAACATACAAGTAGCTCTTACTTCTCAATCGATGTTAACATTTTCTTCAACCGAGCCCCTCCGCATTATAAAATTGCTCGTTCAGCCAAAATCAAACTTATAACTAGATGCTATAGAGCCAAAATGAGAGACTACCATAAACGCAAACCGAAGAGGAGTGGCAAGATCTCCAGCTATTATTCTCCCAGATAATATTAAGACAAGAATTAATCAGAGTAAGTACTATTGAGTAGTTTTACAATCACACTATACCAACGAGCACTATTACACTCTCTTTCTCCAGAAGGAGCTACAAATAGGATCACCGGAAAGAGTACATATACCCAAATCCTCCAACACAGCTAAAATAATCCATAATAATTCAAGGAAAAAAAAAAAAAAAAAGATCGATCATTAAGCAGTTGCCTCATGGCTGTTAGCATCCTTTCCCGCTTCTGGAAGAGTATCCAAGTCTGTACGGGCGTTCGTCTCTTCTTGAGGAAGTGAGGTGGATGAGTCTACCTGTTCATGTTCGGAAGAAGAAACTTCCGGCTGAGTTCCGCCCACATCATCACTGCCATTACTGTCTGTAAAGGAGGTTGTTATCTCAGTTGAAGTTTCCGGATTGTTCTCAACATTCTCACTCGTCGTTGGAGTCGAATTTCCTTCCACTTTCTCATCACTGGTACCGGTTTTCTCTGTCTTCTCCTTTTCAACTTCTCCAGATTTTTCGTTTTGGCTTTGGCTGAAATCGCCATTACCTCCATTTGGTTCATCTGAAGAATCATGATTGTGCTCGTTCTCATTGATCGACTCTGAATTATGGATGCTGTTTTCATTAGACTCGTTCTGCCTACTTGACTTCTCATCCTCATTTGAAGTAGCCAAGCTAACATTCTCTGTTTCCATTTCACTTTGAGAATTTTCTACCGAGTCATTGGCGACACTTTGACCCGAACCATGCTCTTCCATGGTGCCCTCGTTAGTCTGTTCATTTCTAATTTGATCCGCACCGTCTTTCTGCTTCTCAACTTGGTGGTTCTTCTCGTGAGCGGTTTCATTACCTTCTTTGGTCTCTTCTTGGCCATTGTTTTTCTCTCCCTCGCCTTCTGTAAGGTTCGGCTGTGAAGCTTCACTCTGGTTCTCTTTATTCTCGTTGTCCTTGGAGTATTCTTTATTTTCGTTCTCTTCATTCCCATTTCCTTCCGTTTTCTCTGAAGTTTTATTCTCATTCTCTCCTGCAGCCATTTCTTCACTTTTTCCTCCATCACCTTTGCTTTCTTTGCTCTCGTTCTCTCCTCTATTTTCCTCACTTCTGTTCTGCATATTATCGCTCTCTCCTTTAATTTCCTCATTCTTGGTCTCCGTGTTCTCACCGTCTCCTTTTGTTTTTTCATTCTTATTTTCTGTCATTTCCTCGTTGTTCTGCTTGCTCTCACTTCCTTCCACACTTTCTCCATTTTTGTTCTCTGCAATTTCTTCATTTCTGTTCTCCTGCCCCACATTTTCTCCAGTAGTATCTTCATTCTTGTTTTCACCAATTTCTTCGTTTTTGCTCTCATTTCTCACAGTTTCTCCCGTAGTTTCCTCATTCTTGTTTTCCCCAGTTTCTTCATTACTGTTCCCAGCACCCACATTTTCTCCCGTACTTTCTTCATTCTTGTTCTCTGCAATTTCTTCAGTCTTGCTCTCTGTTCCCTCATTATCTCTCGCAACTTCTTCCCTCTTGTTTTCAATGATCTCTTGATCCTTGTCCTCTCCGACATTATCCTCTGTAATCTCGTGTTCACCCGTTGTCTCCTCAACTTTATTCTCCGTGCTCTCGTTCTCACCCGTTGTCTCCTCAATTTTACTCTCCGAGCTGTCTCCTTCATTATTCGCATCTCCATTTTCACTAATCTCCTCGACTCTGTCTCCACCTTCCTCTTCCTTACTCCCTTCATTACTTTCCTTCTCCTCGCCATCTGTCCTCTCCTCATTCGCTGCCTTACTCCCTTCATCTTCTCTCACCGCGTTTTCTCTCTCATCCGTCTTCTCTTGCTCTTGCCACCGCTCGCCTGGCTTGTTCTCATCATCAAAATGCACATTTTGGTCCACCTCTTTCTCCTTCTCATCCTCCTCATTGATTTCAGTCTTGGGATTGAGATCCTTTCTCCCGAGCTTGATGCCGTTCGGCTCGTTCTCTAGCTTTGTCAAGATTCTCGGGTTGTCCACCTTTTTGTTGTGCGACTGCTGGACCTGGTAAAGCAGCCAGAAGCAGATCCCAAGCAGGAGGCCTATTTGGAGCACATGCTTCACCTTTATCCCTTTGTTTCTGTTGTTCCTACGCGGCGAGTGCTTGAACATGGTGACTCTTGGATCAAGTTATATTGCGAAAACTCTGATTTCGACACTGTCCTTCTGTTGAAAACTTTAAACTGAAAGAGGTCAGTGAATTTTTTTGGTAATAAACATAAGCAGTTAAAACTGAAAAAAAAAAAAAAAAAAATTGAATCAAGAAGAAGACAGATCCAAAGCAAACCTAGAAAACATAAACATAATCTGACATTATTACCAAAGGTTTGAGTTCTTTTTCTCAACTGTTTGGAGAGATATAAACAGATTATTAGTACAAGACCTTTTTTTTTCAATTATTGGGTCACAAATGCTACAGTCCCATTACAGAATCATTCTGTCGAGATTTGTAACCTTTAGATCATCATGTAACCGTCTTGGATAGTTGATCTAACAGTTACAAACCCCGACGGAATGGTTCCGTAAATTGCACCGTAGAATCTCCCCATAACTCATACTTCAGATCCAAGAAATATGAAACATTGATGTTGAGGACAATAACGTTTTATTGTGGAATATTGGCACAAATGGTATAAAAACACTGAAGATTCTACAGTCTCGTTACAGAACCACTCCGTTATCTCACGGTTACAAATCCCGACAGAACCGAACCGTAGCATTTCCCTAAAAACACACCTAAAAACACAGTTAAATGAAAACAAGGATGCTGCCAACATTAAAGCGCTTCTTGTTTTGGTAACCTCGACCAAAATCGAACAAATCCAAATCACAATCACTGATTCATTAATTTCTACTAAATATTCTTACTTAATGAACATGATTCAGACCACCATAACTAAACAGATCGAAATTTAAAAATCAAGAAATCAATTCAATAACCAAAGATCAAATCTTGAACATGATTTAAAGAAAAACAAAGGAGATCTAGAAACTTGCGAAGACAAAAAACATAAACATAAACATAAACACAAACCTGGTATTCGCGTATTCCTAAAAGAACTCTCCTTCGAATGATACGAACAAAAAAAAAAAGTCGGCTTTTTGACTCTTATAAAATAACTGTGGCTTATGATTAAGCTCCACGAAAAGGTAATGCGAATAAAATATTATTAAAATGGCGATTTATTATGTAAATTTGCAGAAGGTGAAGACGAAGGTAGCTAGAAAAGGATTGGGCAAAATATGCTAAAAGATGGATCTTGGGCTGAAAATAGATCTGAAAATTGCTTTAAATCTTAACTGCGTTGCCAACTTAAGCAATGTTTTTTCTTTTACATATTCTCACGCACGTCGATGCGCGTTGAAGCATGATACTCACCGACGCGGCGATCTCTTTGGTTGCATTCAGTACAAAAAACTGAAACCATACGCGCGTGTACTGTAGTCGCGTTTTTTTGGTTCAAGAAGAGCGAGAGTTTGCGCTAATTATGTACTTTAATGGAAACATTTGGAGCATGTTTATGAAACTGAATTCCTATTTACCGCACCCAAAGTCGAAGAAAATAGAAGCCTCCGCACCGCGATTGCGGCCGCTTTAGGCGCAGACGGCCGTGGTTGCAGCCGCATCTGGCGCAATCGCGAAGCCCCTCGCGAATCTAGGCCGCAATCGCGGCGGGAGGCGCGAACTTTTTTTTTTTTTTTTTTAATCTAAAAAACCAAAAATAATAAAAAAATATATATTATTATATTTAAAAAAATAAATATCCAAAATATATTATTTAATATATATTTTATAAAAAATTTAAAATTAAAATAAATATATTTTAACTAATAAAAATATTTTCGCATAAAATATATTTTAATAAAATTATAAATCCAAAATATAAATATAAATATATTTATTTTAATAAAATTATATATCCAAAACATAAATATAAATATATTTATATATTCGCATTTAATTTTTTATATAATTAAAAAATATAGATATATTTAAAAAATATAATATAAATTAATAAATTATTTTTGCGTTTTAAATAAAAATATATATTTAATAATATATATTTAAATTATATATATAAATAAAAAATATATATTAATACAATTATTTTGCATTTTTAAAAAATATATATCTAAAATATATATTGATATATATTTATTTAATATATATATTTAATATATGATATAATTTTTTCACATTTTTTAAAAAATATATATTTAATAATCAAAAATATATATTATTTATATTATTATATATATTAACAAATAAAATATATATTAATAAATAATGAAAAAATATTACTTAATATATATATATATAAGAATAATATTAAGATAAGAAAATATTTATATTATTATCTATATTAATAATGAAAAAATATTAAGAAATAAATATATAAATTTTATGTATATATTAATAATTAAATTAAATTAATAATTCCAATTAATTTAGATTAATAAATTAACTTGTCTAATTTAATTTTTTTTAAAATAAATGAATTAAAAAAAGTTTGTTTACTAATTATTCGTTTAAAATTTTGGATTTAGGCTGATGAGTATCTTGCCGACTTTACTGGTTCTGGACCCCGACACACGCACGCTCGTAATGTGAATTCTTCGGCTCGGGAGGAGAGGAAGCAGATGCTCCTTCATGCTCGTACGGTACAGACTGCCCAGGCTGGTAGTTCGAGACATCCCGTTACTCCGATACAAAGTGGTCAACAGTCGGGCCCACTACTCATGCCTGGCAGTTCGAGCCATCATGTTACTCCGATACAGAGTGGACTGCAGTCGGGCCCACTCATGGTTGGCATTTCGGTACGCCCCACTCCGATACAGAGTGGTCTGCAGTCTGGCCCACTCATGCCTGCCAGTTCGGGACGCCCCACTCAGATGCAGAGTGGTCAGCAGTCTGGCCCACTCATGTCTGGAAGTTCGGGACGCCCCACTCAGATGCAAAGTGGTCAGCAGTCTGACCCACTCATGGCTAGCAGTTCTGGACGTGTCCCGATTATATATATTGTTCATCGGCGGGACTCCACTTATGAGTCGGCAGTCAGGAGTCCGCAGGATGATGATGATGATGATGATGATGATGATGATGACGACGATGACGAGGAGCAGGCCTATGATGATGTCGAGCAGGCCTATGAGTTCGACTTTGATGCAGCTGAGCAGCCACAGCTACAGCTACAGCCACAGCCACATCGACCGCCATAGCCGCAGCTACAGCCACAGCCACAGGCACGTCCAGGTAAACGAGTTGGCCGAGTGGATCCTCCACGACAGGCTGGGGGTCGTTATACGGGCGCAGCCTCATCATCAGGTAAATGATTTACGTATTTATTGTTGTTTACAATCGCTAAATAAGATAAAAAAAAATATAATATTAATTTTAGAATAAATAACTTCAGCAAAAAGTTTATAATATTTTTTTATGTTTATGTAACTTTCATATATAATTTAATTTAAACTATAGTTATTAGTTTTAATAATAACTATTATATGATATAATAAAAACTGTAATTATTACTTCGTTAATAGTTTAGCATTAATTAGATATGGTAGATTAATAATAATAATAATAATAATAATAATAATAATTATTATTATTATTTTGATTCCATATAATAATAATAATAATTATAATAAAAAAATAATAATAATAATAATAATAATAATAATAATAATAATAATAATAATAATAATAATAATAATAATAATAAAGTTTGTAACGATTTTGGAGGGAAATCGAAATGAAGTTTTATTAAATATTTTATTAAATGTTGTTAGGCAACAATTATATATATGTAGATTTTATTTAATAATAGTGCATTATTGATACAGTCAATCACAATATGTCGTATATATATTAATTGTTCTATTTTAATACAGAGGCGAGCAGCGCACGCACTAAGTGCGACGACTGGCTTGTTAAAGCCCCAGTACCCGGTGGCCCCGTCGACGGGAGTGTTATCCCTAGTTTTCTAGGGCACGTAGCCTCCCGGATTTGGATTGGACAGCTCAGAGGCACGTTGAAGTGCCAAAACAGAATGTCGGCGAACGGAGTGTTGAGGGAGTGGCTCGCAGTGATGGATGACGGTGCGCGAGATTTGATCCGTCCGACCGGGCTATTACATCTGGCGTCCAGTATGCACGAGCACGTCGACACTCCACTTATTTCAGCATTTGTGGAGCGATGGCAGCCGGATACTAACTCGTTTCACCTACCTTTTGGTGAAATGAGTATCCTGCTCCACGAAGTGAGGGCCATACTGGGGGTTCATATCGTCGGATCGGTAGTCACAGGGGACCTCGACAGCATGACACATCATGCGTACTACATGGAGCTGTTGGGGGTGACCCAAGACAGGCTGATGGCGAGCTTTTGGAGTCACGGCTCCGTGTCGAATGATGCTGTTTTTACTGCGTTGCAGAAGAATGGCACAGGACGGTCGGCTGAGCATGTGGCGACTGGCTGGCTGTGGGTGCTGCTCGCTACCACCTTATTTACGGACAAGAGTGGTAACAGGGTCAGTCTCAAAATCCTGCACGAGATGATGCAGAACCTACAGACAGTTGGGGATTACTCGTGGTAGGGGTGAGCATCGGTGCGGTTCGGTCAAAAATCGAACCGCACCGCAAAAAACCGAAAATCGAATATTTATAATTTCTTCACCGAACCGCACCGCAAGAGAAGGAAAAACCGAATCAAACCGAACCAAAGTTTTCGGTTTGGTTCGGTGCGATTTTTCGGTTAACCAGAGCAACTCAGTAAGTATATTACATTATACCCAAAAAAAACGAAAATTTGGTCTGTAATTGGGGCAAAAAAATAAATTCAGCAAATTATTGATTCTTAAATCATCCAATACCCTCAGCAATAGAAAATTTACTACCAGGGTTCAAACATCTAAACAAAAACAGATAGATCAACATATACAAATGTAAATGCCCTAAAATTTATCAAAAAGGAAAAATTAGGGTTGGGGGTTCGATTGAAGACAACGGACGAAATGAGAAAATGAAAAATACAAGACTGAGAGATAAACAAAATTGAGGAAGCCCGTGGAATGACGAGCGAGCACCGGACGACAAGCAACAGCGGCGGG